TCTGGGTCTCTGATTCAAAAAGGTACTGACATCAGTACAGCCAGGCAGCTTCATTTACACAAAGAGGCCAGAAGTGACAGCAGCTCATACGTCTCGTGGCAAAGTCACTTTAAAAGTGTATGTATTGCCAAAATGCTAGAGTTGTCAACTGTCTTTCCATGGGGACACCTGTTCTGGTAACCAGTCTAAAAGTGATTTCCCTGTCACTTCCTTTTGTGTCTCCAGGACAGGATGGGAAATCTCCCCACTGGGGCACAGACCCCACATATACACAAGCCTGTTACTTGTCAATCAGCACCTATCTACACCAAGTCCTGCCAACTGCTTTCTGGATCACGGTTGCCGAAACCCTCAAAACTGTGATGTGCAGTGCCTGGGAGGGAGCGCCTGTGAGACAAAATCATGCGATAAACCGCTCAGTGTGAACAGGGCCTTACAGGGTTATTCACAAAAGGGTGAACGGTTTGGAGAAGGCAGAGAGGTGAACAATCTAGGACACATAGCTGAAAATCGGAAAGGGAGTTGAATTGGAGAGTTTTTCCAAATCATGTATTTTTGCCTAGATTGGAGAAGGGAGGAGAAGTGAACAAACTTCACCCTTTTGTGAATTACCCCGTCAGTTAGTGACATTGTAGGCCACCTAATCACCATTATGTTTAAAAAAAAAAAAAAAAGTTAGCTTTTTGTTTTTAGACCCAGAAGTTAAAAATAAATAAAATTCTCAAATCCTAGGGATACGAGGCGGTTCCAAATAAATGACAAAAAAAATGTATTTTAATGCATTTTTTTTTTTGCTGTACTATTGTTCTAAACAATAATCAAAACTTGGAAAAAATTGTTTACGTTTTTTCCTCTTTTAAAAAAAAAAAAAAAATATATATTCTAGTCATCCAAAGTGAGGCGTTCGGGCAATATTAAATCACATGTGTGTGCCTGTTCTCTAAAAAACAATAAATAATATGCACTTAGTAAGTGCATATTACTATACTTAGTAAGTATATTACTGCCGTGGAAGAATCACACAGCAAAAATGTTAAAAAGTGCTTGTTATTTGGGAACAGAAACTGAAGAAGAAAAAAAAAAACTCAGTCATGAAGGGGTTAAATGAAGTGTCTTATTTGTAGGGCTGCAACAACTAATCGACATAATCGATTATAATCGATTATTGAAAAAGTTGTCAACTTTTTCAGTCATCGATTAATCGGCTTGTAGTTGGCCCTGTTCAGACCCGCCCACCCGCATCCACGCGCCGCACCTCCTCCATGATCGGCACAGGAACGTGGAGAGAAGTAAGGAGGAGCAGGTGTTAGCGGATGACAGCCGCCGATAGACAGGCCCAATCTCAGAAACAAATTGCTGGAAGACTGCTCAGGTAAGCCTGCACTTTCCCACACATGGTGCTCAATAATGTATTGCTGGGATTTGTATTCTTCTATAGCTGATGGTACATTGTGCTGTATATTATACTGAGCAATGTACCATCAGCTATAGAGGAATACAAATCCCAGCAATACATTATACACTCGATGTTTAATGTATTGCTGGGATTTGTTGTATTCCTGTATAGCTTGTGGATGTATCACTCAGCTCTAGATTTGAAAATCACCTCTAAATTGGTGCCGACACTGTCCTTCCTTCTGGAGGGTGACTACTTTGGTTCTCCATGGTCCCTGTGTGTTGTAAAGCAGCCACCGTTCCAAGCTCACTCCTGCGATGGACTACAATCTTGATACAAATTAGTAAACTACGCGTGATATTTTAGTCCATCACGGGAACGAGCTTGTAGCGATGACTACTTTACAACACACATCAGGACCATGGGGAACAAAAGTAGCAACCCTCCAGTGTTGGCATGAATTCAGAGATGATAGCCACCACTTCAAGCTCACTCCTGTGATAAGACTATAACTTCAATACAAATTAGTAACCTAAATGTGAGACTGTAGTCCATCACAGGAGCAAGCTTTGAGTGGGGAAGTACTTTACAACACACACAGGGACCATGGGGAACAAAAGTAGCCACTCTCCAGAAGGAAGGACAGTGTCAGCACCAATTCGAGGATCTACAGCTGAGAGATACCTAAATAAGATACATTTCGGTTATTAGTTAAAAAATGTACTTTAATGCATTTTTAAGATTTAACTCCCGAGTTTAAAAGAATATGCCACCTTTGTGATCATCTTTCGTGTTACACCCATATGGTTGCATTCCTTAACTGCACAGCCACATCGCGCATTCATAAATCCATTAGCAGGATCTGTGAAGAAAAAAAGACAAACAAAACAAAAACTACAAGTCCCATCTGGCATCGTGGCAGAGGAACTAGCAGATCTCAATGGTGTACAAGTGAGGGGACATTATCACCCTTAGGTCAGGTTCACACTTGGGCGAACCATGACTGTGCAGGAAATCGTGCACAAACCACGGCTGATCGCGCTGGCAGGGCCATTCTTTTCTAATTGCACCCCAGTCACGGCAGGCAGATCTCGTGGCATTCCGCCCGTGCAGTCACGCATGATCATAGCTAGAAAAAAAACATGCGTCACAAGAAAAAGAAAAAAACTTTTTTTCAGCGATTGCCGCTTGTATATAACCCCACTGATAATCAATGGGGCCGCGCAAACGCAGTGTACAACCGCGGCCCAAACGTGCACCTGGCCTTATAGTACAGTGCACATTTGAACGCGCTACATATCGCTTCTTTTGGCATTTTACCACAGGGACTCAGTGTGAATGGGGTCTTAGACTGCTGGAGTAGAGTGGAGGCGAGGCTGAAGGCAGCGGTCTGGGAGCAAGCCGGGATCCCGGTTCGGGTGAGTACATCTGTTATTTTAGCTCCCCAGACAAAATGAGCACTTAACCCTTGCAGTGCTGGGGTAGTAGATGGGCAGCTGCTGGATATTGTGCTCTCCTGTACTGGGCAGGACGTTCAGGGAAGAGGAGCCGAGATAGTTGGAGCTGTTCAGAAACAGAATAACTGATTGCTTGGGGAAAGAAAAAAAAATATATTTTTTTTCCATCAAAGAAATACTTCGCTGGGCAATGTATATTTGTTTGATTTGGATTTATTACTGAAAAAAAGTTTGAGCTTATTTTTGGCCACTATTTTTCATATTTAGTGCAATATGAAGTCATGAGAACTCAGGGCGCTTTGTAAACAATACAAGTCTTGCCCCCCACTCAGCATATGCAAAAATAGTCATTTGTCAAGGGGTGATGTTCTAACAGGTGTATTATAGGTGCCCATGTATTACAGGTGCCCATACACCCCGCGATCGTACAATAATCGTGCAGTGTATGGAAGGCGTGTGACCGTTTCTACTGTACGGTCGCACGTCTTCCGTCGAACCAGCATGCTAGAAAACCCGCCGAGAATCGTACGAGTTAGTGGCCTGCTGGTTCGACAACTGCCGAACGGGCCGGTGTGCGCACTCTCACACAGCCCGTTTGCAGCCATCGTAAGCCCGCCCCTCATTACAGTAATCAGAATGATCGCAAGTAATCGATGATCGCAAGTACGATCTGCCTGTCCAAGATGGGCAGATCGTACGTTTTTTAAAGTACTTTACAACCCTCGCTAGACAAAAGTCTTGAGGGTTGTAAAGTGTATGGCCACCTTTACTCCTCAGTCTTGCGGCAGCCAATGCTCTGGTCATCTTCTCCCTGTCCCCAGAATTTAGGTGGGCACTCCATCATCATCACCAACAACAATGCAGGACCAGCAATAGCCACTCATCCTGCATTGTACATGACATCAGTGAGCAGGGCAGTGACATGACCAGTTAGACTGGCAATTAGAAAGGCTTGGCAAGGCTGGTAATCACAGTAGTGCAATGTAAGTGTTTTTCAGTATCAGATCTTCCAAAAGACAAGCATTATATTGTTCATCAGACTGGGGGGGGGGTAGATATATACAGATCTCTACACTAGAACTTCAAAAGAATGACATTTGATATTCTGCAAAATAGGGATAGTCCCTCTAAGCCAGGGGTGGGTAACTCTGGCCTTCCAGCTGTTGTGGAACTGAGTCCCAAGACTGACAGTTACAGGTATGACTCCCAGAGGCAGAGGCATGTTGGGATATGTAGTGACAGCACAGCTGGAGGGTCAGAGTTACCCACCCCTGCTCGAAGCCCTCTTTCACATTTGAGTGTGAGCATTTTTGTTGGGTTTGTCTTTGCACATTTCCCCGGCAAATGGAAACCATAAGTGCTTGTTTTGGTCTAAGGGGCTGTAATGAAGCATTATAAAACGTACCTGATCCTAGCCTCGTCCGGGGTGCTAGATCAGTCCCTGCACAAAATGAGGACTTAATCTTTGCAGTGCAGAAGTAGCCCCACTAAACAAGTTTCTTGCTTGCCCAGAGTTCTTCTCTTTTAACCAATCAAAAGCTAGTTATGCAGCTAGGTTGACATATCAGCAGTCCCGGGGGCCACACACAATTGCACACAGAGTTTGAGGCACGGCCCAATTGATTTAGATTGGGTTATAGCCACGCTGCAGTCGCTAGAAGAAAAAAAAAAACATGTACCTTTTTTTGCGACGCACAGCTTTTTTTTTTTTTTTTACCCACAATTATTACAGATTGTCCAAGTGTGAACCTGGGCTTAGGCGGAGGGAAAGCCACAAAAAAAAACACTCAGGTGTAAATGACTAAACAAGGGACAGTCAGGAGCTCTCAACACCCTGTGGCAATATTGCTATCAGGGCTGAATTTGCCACAAGGCCAACCAAGGCCCAGCTGAGATCACTTGTATGCAGCCTGCAGGTCTGCCATTCTCCATAGGGTTGGCAGGTAGGGGGGTGCATTGAGGAACCTGGCCTTGGGACAGCAGAGAGTAAATCCGGCCCTGATTACTATTATCATGATCCAGGATTTCTATAGCACCAACAGATAGCATAGCGTTCTCCCATATAAAAAGGCAGCCAGTGCAGTTACAATAGAACTGAATACAGGAGGGTGTATGTGACCAGCCCAGGCTGTTGGGTGACTGTATACCTGATCTGCTCCAAATGGGGTGATGTTGGCCTTGACGGAGCCGACTCCCAGCGCCACGACGACCAGTGCTATGAAGAGCGGGGTGGCACAGTATTTCAGGCTTTGGTCTTTGCAGGATATGAAGGACCCATTGATGGAAGAAGTATTGGCGGTGCTGCAGTTGTCCACATTGACCAGGGGCAGGTTTCCGCAGAAGACAGATCGTGTCGCCGGATAGGTGAGAAGCGGGAAGAGCAGCATGCCCAGCAGGTACAGCACCATGCTCATCAGGATAGTCCGGAAGCGGCCGATCAGCGCGTCGGCCAGCCATCCCCCGAACGGTGACACCAGGTAAGTGATCCCCATGAAGAGCAACAGAGCCTGGCTGGCCTCGGTGCCCTCCCAGTTGTAGATGGGTCCATTGAGGAAGAGCACCAGGTTGGAAGTGATGCCATAGAACGCCACCCTCTCCAGCATCTCAGACAGCAAAACCGCGGCACAGGCCAAACGGCGGCCCGAGAACACCGACGACCCCGGTGCCGGAGGAGACAAGGAATCGGAGCGGCCGCCCAGCAGCGGGCTCCGCTCTCCGTTATCATCCATGGAACGGCTGGCTGTGATCACCCCCTTCGTGCCATACACACTTCCTCTCCGGAGTAATACCGAGCCAACTATACAGGAAGTGTTTCGGGTACGAGTCACGCGCTACATCACGCCCACCTCCCTGCTCCAATCACAACCTCCGTACTCTTCCACATTTCACAGCGGTGCCGCCCTGGACACGCCCATCCGTCACGGCTGTCAGCTGCCTGGCCAATAGTGTGAGAGATGTGGCGGCGATCATTGCGGTGCTGCTGGGCTGGCTGTCATGTGACCGTGATCAAGCTTTCCCAAAGTACACAAGTTTCACGTGCTTGTAGCCGGGGAAGGGGTTGTTTGTGTCAGGTTTTGGAAACGTAGAAATATCAGATCACCGGCGTTTGTTGGTTTTGGCAGGAAGAAAACAAACTTCCCTGTTAGTGCCTTACAGTATGAACAAAGGTAACACGTAATTCTTGGTTCATTTTTGGATAGAGCAGAAGGTTAAAACCGCTGTGAGATTTCCCTTCTCATCGTGTAATATAACTCAACAGCAAGTGAGACTGGGTGGTGAGGGGTTAACATTCATGTGCTAGGCACAGAGAGGTTGTCACACATGTGATATGAATAGACGCATTGGCAGCTAAGAGACCAATGCACATAAGTAGAACAGGTGCTGAGGGGTTAACACACATATATTGGGTACTGAGGAGTTAACATACATGATTAGGTCTGAGCACTGAGGAGATAATGCACATAAGCTGAGGACTGGGCACTGAAGGGTTATCCTATATGTCCAGAGGAATGGACTCTGAGGGGTTAACTCGCCTGTGTTGGAGCTGGGCACTAAGGGATTAAAGAACTGCAAGGGTTAACTGCTCATTTGTGTTTAGGGAGGAAAATAACATGGATATACTCACCTGAACCTCAGAGTCGGCCGGCTCTTAAGGTGCCCATACACCTTACGATTATCGGACAAAACTTTTCGTCCGATGATCAAACCGTCGTACGATTTTCGTACAACGGCCCCATCCTGCCCCGATTATCTCAAGGTTCAATAAGCGATAGTTAAAAAAAACACCTGGACGACTTGCAGTAATTGGCCGTAATTATTTTCGTATGCGCAGTGTTAATCGTACGACTTTTGACAGACGGAAACGCCAGCAACCTTGCGACAATCGTACGATTGACCAAAGTTTTCAAACATGCTTGACCGTCAAAAGTCGTACGATTGTACAGTACTATCGGTCGGGCACTCTATTCACACGTTACGATTGTCGTATGAAAAGTCGATCGCATACGATTATCGTACGATAATCGTAAGGTGTATGGGCACCTTTTAGGCCTGGTTCACACATGGACATTCCGAGAATGCGCGTCGATTTGCGTGATTTCGTGCGCGACCGCTGCCAGAATCTCACACAAATGCAAAGCGTGCTTGCGGGGCCGGCAAATTACCCGATCTTGCACCGCGTTTCTGCGTGTGCAAACACGCACAAACACTGCAGCAAAAAAACGCATCCCACGTGTTGCACAAAAAGGTGCAGGAGCCTTTTTGCCGCGCAGATATGGTCCCATTGAAATCCAATAAATGATCACATCCAATACACCGTGTATAGGACACAGAGGAAGATTCCAATGCTGCAGTGTAGGAGGAGACAGGCTGAAGGGTATGCTGTGACAGATGGCCAGTGTTCTATCATTCCATCGTACCCGTAACTTTCTCGGACTTCTGGGGGTGTGTGCGGGAGCGTGTGAAGGGTTCGCGAGCAAGCACACTGCGGCACCAGGTCTGTAAATCTGATGGACCAACGCAGCTTATCAGTGGTGGTCTATCCCCCACTCTGACGGAAGTCCTAGAAAGTCATGGCTCCGATGGAATGATAGAACACCGGCCCTAGACCACCGTTGCACGTGGTGGCTGCTCGCCCCCCTCCCCCTCCTGCAGTGCCGCCGCCGTCCCCCCTCTTGTTCCCTCACTTTCAATCCCGGGATTCGCTACCCCCTTTGCGGCCCGGAGGGTGTCTAGAGGAAGATCAGCATGTTCCTCCTTGCTGATCTCCTTCCGTACTGTGAATGCGGAAATTATGTGTAATAGACATGTGCACCGGCAAAAAAATTGTTTCGATTCGTATTTTGTGTTAGTTAGTTTTTCGCTTAGTGTGAATAGGGCCTTAGTGCTTGCTCTAGCAGTAGATCACTGTAGCATTAAAGTGCTGCAGCAGGGGTAGGCAGAGGTTATCCAGCTCTGCCCCATTGAAGATGAATGGGGTGAAGCACTCTGTGGCTACAGAAGGAGGACGGGCAGCTCTGGAGATCACTGGAAATCCCAATGACATCAGAGAGAATGATTTCCCTTGTAATTACAATGCAGAAGTATTAGGATTTCATTGTGTTGCAAAGAAGTCTTGTAGGTTGCTCTGTCGCAATATCAGACACGCAGGAACCGATCAATTCCTGGACACAGCTCTAGACCCTGACTGCCACTGAAATCTGCACATTCCTGCAAAACCAGCACCAGGACCCACTGCAGCCAACCAACCCTGCTTTAAAATGGTACTGGTATGAGATAATACAATCCCTGCATTGTTCTCAAAATAAAGTGATACCAGAATGTTTGAAAGCTATTTCAAATGCTGATGAAATCACTTACAATGGATGCTGCTCCTTGATGTTTAAACATTTTAGTTTCCTGCAGAATCAGCTGGTCCCCGAGCACTGGTCCTGATATCTTGTTTTAGGGTGACTCCTTTCCCTTACAGTGTCCTATGGAGCCACCTTTGTGTGTGCTAGAAAGCTGTGTGTCTCCACAAACACAACTTTCAAGTGTTACATTGCACTCCAGACCAGAATCCCTTAGTGAAGGGTACTGGGTGAGAAGCAGATGGCGCCGCACAGATCCAAGTATAAAGAAGTAATCGCCGGCACACCAAGGTCCCATGCATGAATCCGCTCCACCGGCGTGCGATGCCATGTGTATCTGACGTTAATAAAAGGATGGATTGATGCATGGGACCTTGGTGTGCCAGCGATTGCTTCTTTATCCATAAACAAACAGCCACAGCAGACAAGTCACTTTTCTATCCCCCTCCCCCCCGCTCCTCTCGGTTCCTTTTTCCCTTTTCCAAGCTAGTAGATGAACAGCTGCTGGACACTGTGCTTTATCCCTTGTAATTTTGTACTGGACAGGAGGTTCAGGGAAGCCAACCTGAGAGAGTTGGAGCTGTTCGGAAACATGATGACTGTAAGTTTTCAGTCACACATATAAAGAAAGCCTTTGCTGGGCAATGTATATTTGTATGATCTGGATTCATTATTGAAAAAAAATGAAAGGTTTAATACTACTGTAAGTGGTTGATATGCAACTGATCCACGAAAGGTAGTTGGGAATACAGAAGCACACAGATCGTGTATTCACTCTATATTCAAAGGTTTATAAGTTATATGTGAAACTAAAAGGTGGATGGCGGAGCACAAACCAATTCAAATCCTGCACGTATACAGAACTACAAGACTACTCCTGATAGTAAGGATCATGAGACAACCTTGGGGGGATTTGTAAAGTAAACAACCAGAAGACACAAACAGAGATAAGAGATACCATTTACAAAGACTAACATTTAGAAACATCTCAAACTGGTTTCTGTGGAATATACTGAAAAACACAATTTTGCTTGCTCAGACATTAACTATGTATATTATCTTACTGTAGTCTTTATATTTTATTAATTACAATTGTACATATCACATTAAAGTTTTTGGGTGAGGTGTTAATATTTCATTAACTTAATCCCTTATTATATTTGGCATTGTGCTGTTGTTCACCGGGTTCTATTTTTAACAATAATTTAGCAATTTCTATTCATGCCTTAAAGCAGAACTATGGGGCCACCTTTTTTGCCCATAGTTTTCTTCAGGGTCATGGGAGGACATATACTGTGTCCTTCAATGTCCCAAAACTTCAGCATATAGCGGGATTGTTCCCCGCTATATGCTGAGAGTACAGGGCAACTCCACATCAGGATTGGAACCCGACAATTCTGTTGAGAACAACTCAGCTGGCTGATTGACAGCTGGCTCTGCTGAGCAAACACTCACCCCATAATTCTCCTTCAATGAGCCAGGAGATATTAAAGGGGAGCTCTTTTGTGAGCCTCGGCTAGTTGTAATATTCATTTTAATACAGTGTTTATATATTTATTGTCTTTTTTTATCAGAGACTGTCTTAAAGTTGAACTATGAGGTGAGTGCTTTTCACTGACCTCATAGTTCTAGCCGACCTGTGAATTGTAGCCTCCATTTTTCTTTCAGCATTGGTTTCTTGGAAATCACTGACTAGTATTCAGATTTCATATAGACTGTGGATTAATTGCAGTGATTTCTTTTACTTATGACATATATAACCACAAAGAAACATGCTGTTGGGAAATTACAAATGTATGTTGTATACAGTATTTTGGTAATGGAAATGTTGGAAACAGGACATGTAGAAATCATCACCCGCGTCTGCTAGACGTTTCATTCTGTGTAAACAGAAACCTGTTATTAAAAAGCTGATAGCATATGGGAAAATCCACTCCAAAGACAAAGTTCAGAAAGTACTCTTATGTCTCCAGGACATGACAGTGGAGAAGCACAAAAATGTGAAGAGTGGAGGAAACAGAACACAACTTCAATTAAAGAGAAAATGTAGAAACCAGAAAGTTTTTTATTTTCAATAATACTTTTCAATCTAGGACCACCTAAAGCTAACATTTAAAGGGCCGGGCCACCCAAAAACTGATCTTATGGTAAACATTAAATTACCTAAAAGTTCTTTATGTGTCTCGCGGACTCTTTTGGTGAGTTATTTGCACTGAAATGCCTGAATCTGTGTACCTGCTTTGGCCAATATATGGGGTTTTTGATATTTAATCTCTACATTATTTGGTGTTTTGTTAGCTCAAGACTTTGACCCCGCATTCTAAGCTTGATTTTTAGATATTGTTATTGACTCTGTTTAAATGCAATTTTGTTTGCCTGTAGAAAAAAAATGTAAGATCAGGAATTTGATTTCATTCTTTTTCAGAG